TACGTGTGTATATGTATATTTTCTTATTTGGTTAATTTTCTTAAAGTCTAAAGTTTGTTTGCGACAATTGAGTGCCTTTGTTCAATTAAGGAGCAATTAGATATGCTGGTAACTATTTAATTGGTTTAAATTTCAGGTTATTACAAACATAGCCCGAAGAAATTATTTTTAAATATAGTTAGAAATATAGGAAAAAATTTTAGAGATATTTAATGGAAAAATTTGAAAAGATAATAAAATAGTGATAAATAAATGGAGAAGAAAATGGATTGAAACTTCGGCAGCCGAGTTTGTAATCTCTTCCACTATAACTTCAAGACCCGAATTTTTAAGTTACAGTAGGTGAAAACTTCCCGTTCGCGTAGCACTACCCAAAGGTTGGAATTTAATCATCGAAACCCTAAATATAGGTTGAGGTGCAAGGCCTCCCTTGACCTAAATGCATATCTGGCTTTTCTTTGAGGACTGGATGATATATCGTGATAATTAGTTAAATTAATACTTTTTAGTTACATCACCAAATATATATTAAATTGGAACACTCAGATTAGAACACAACCCTTAACCAATATTGTATCGAAAAAACTTTTATTGATCATCATGTACTGTTACTTACTATGCAACTCTGCTGCAGGGCAGCTACGTTAAAATTTTTACCTGAATGAACTTTCAATGGGTGTAAAAGTTTCTAAAATACTAGTGCTATTCAATAATATGTAAAAGGTTTCGACGAGTGATTGCTCAAAATTTGCGTATGGTGTTATATTTAGTAGCTATTACTGTTGTTGTTGTAATTGGAGCAAAAAACTAAAAAAAAAAGTTTTAGAAATAACTAATTTTCAGAGAAATAAATCGTAGTGAGTGGCGAATCGAACACATAAGTGGTTTAAATGAAATAGGCTAGTGTAGTAAAATAGTCAACTTCAACTGAACATCAGTTTCGAAATTTATTTTTGCAAACATCAATCAAACAAAGCTAGCGCAGAAGTGGATAATCCTAGACAGCTAATGTTATAAAGCCCGTATGATATATAGTATTGCTTTCGCTCGCAAGAATAAGCTTTTTATATATAGCTTTGTGAATTTTTATATTTTAGTTACAGATATTAAACTTAGAATCACTTTAGGATCAGATTAAGAAATGTCACTTCCGAAGGCAGCCAAATCTTGATTGTGTTTGTTACCTATAAAACAGGCGCCTCAACTTAGCACGGAGAATTTCATTCGCGCATCTGTTAAAGCACAACCTGTGTACACTTCCCTGACCTGTAGTTCTCACATTATAAATATAATCTAAATTATATGTGTGTATTTCCGGTTGCTTATGTCTACCATTTCCGCATATTTCCTACTTTGCAACCTTCAATTTAACGCAACGTTGAAGGTGAGTCGCAAAGCGGAAAGGTGGTGTGTGCGGAAGAGCGTGATGAGCGCGTCCAACGATCCTTGTCAAAAGTGGCGTTTGGCTAGATAGTGTGAGTGACTGACTTGCGCATACATATTTACAAGCAGTAAGTCGCTACTTATGCTCCATCAGCAACCTGCTGACTGCCTCAGCTTAAACCGCTGATTGTGCTGTTACGCTGCTGATGGCGTTGATGAGGGTGAATAGTGTTAAATGCTGAACGACGAGACAGGTGCTGTGCGGACATCTATACGTATACAAAATGCCCGTTTGTGTAGCATGTTGAAAAATATTTAGAAAAAGAAAAACGCAAATTCAAACTGCACCACCGACACACTCTTTGATTAAATCGCTTGCCATGGGAAGCGTTGAGCGCTGGTTGCTGCTGCCAGCATATCGTCGTTGAAGTGCTTGTGATAAGTTGCAAAAGATTTTGTGGAAAATTGAGAAAATTCCACTATTAACAGGTCATTTCGTTCCGCGTGCGCAAAATGATAAAAGCAGAGATAAAAGTGGGTGCCAAGGTGTTGGGTGGAGGTGTTCCCTTTTACTTATGAAAGTTATTGGTGCGAGTGTGTGTCTTGCGTCTAAGGATTGAGGTTAAGTAGATCAGCGTGAAGTTGTGATTTCTTTTTTGCACTTTAAAAAATAAATCTACGTATACATGTTTGCATTCCAATAAACAATAGAGATTTTGAGACCTACTTTCTTCAACGTTGTATATGTATAACTTAAAATCGCTGAAATAAAAATATATAAAAAAAATTATATTTTTGAAATATTTTTGCTGTTTACAATTTTGAAATCAGATTTGATCTTGTATTGTCAAAGATATGTATGGTTGTTGTGCTTTCTCTAGTCACTAAATAATCTATTTGGGATATGAATTTTGTTATTGATTTGGTTTGGTATTTTGAAGGACCATAGCTCCAAAGACATTCGGTTCTACGCAATAGTTTGACGAATTTAGTTCTTTTGAACAGCTATGAGGTAAAATCTTTTGCTACCACAACAATTAGCTTGTACTTGAACGTAGTAACTTTCTTTAGACTGTGAATAAATGTTTGGAAAATTTGTGTGAATTTAAAGAATTCTTAACTGCGCGGCAGCTCTTACAAACGTTTTGAGTTTTTTGCAATCATTCTATGTGCGCTTTGCGCTCTAAGTTTCAGATGTCTACAAATAAGTCTCCCTTACATTAATTCTCTCAGTGCACCCACTCTGCATTAACCATATTTGGGTTAGCAGAATTAATATGCTCGCTACACAACTTCCTCCTCGAACAGCTAGGTCGCTGAATATAGAAGTTTGCAAGCATTCATTGTCAGCGAATCAACAACTCTAGGCATGGAAGATAGGACAAGTAAGCAAACAGCGTTGCGAACTCAGCTCACACCTAAGCGGATGAAATAAGCGTTGAAGAAAAAGAAGATTTTCGACATGTCTTCCCTTCTTCTACGCTCGAAAGTAAGTTGCGCTGATTTAACGATTAAATAAGGTGCTCTAACCGTGAAAAGATTAGAGAAGATTACATTAGAGTAAACGAAATGCAAGTGGAAACTACCGGCAAGAAGTGAAATTGAAACTTTTCACTTTTCCTAACTCTTTGGCTGGCATTATTATTATTGTTGTTGTAATTGTTTTTGTGCTTGTGTGTGGTAAATTGAATTTGCTGCTTACACACTCCCAGCTGTTTGCATAAAAGGACGGGAGCAAGCGAAATTTACTATTTCCCGTGCCGTGCTATGCCTTGCGACATTATGTAGTGTACTTGGCGGCTGGCAGACAGTGACTTCGACGACGTTGTGGCACTTGCTTAATGGCATAAAAACACTAACTCATAACTTATAACGGTTTCTTATGCTAAGTGTGTATATAAGTGCAGTAAAGCAAGTGAATATTGTGTTTCGGTTGAAGGCGAATGGAAAACTGAGTTGCAGTACTACAAAATATATGAAATTATTAATGCACCCAGCGGCGAGAGGCCCCCAAGCACTCGTTGAGAGCTGGTAAAATAATAAGAGTGAAACTGGTGAGCAATGGATATTGTGCTGGCGGCAAAAAGCACACATGCCTTGTTTTTGTTGTTGCAGTGTAGCGTTTCACTTAGCCTCGTTCGTTGGCAGACAGACAGACAGTGTGGGTGATCGAGCAGGCGAGAGTTTGAAACGCTGAGTGGCATGCTGGCAGCACGTTGCTACTTTCACTTCCTTTCCATTACAAAAACACATACATATGTACTCATGCATGGCTCTTCCACTATTGCAACACACTGCTAACTATCTGCAGCAACAACAACAACATCAACACAGAACTTTATTTCAATAATATGCAAAATAGCAACGAGACAAGCGGAAATTGCTTCGGGGATGTTATATTAGTATCTAGTATCTACAATGCGCCCTTTGCTACTTTACAACAACAACTAGCATGTACATCCATATAACTATGTATGTGTGTATGTAAGGTTGCTTGCCGTCGGACCAGTGCCACAATGCCGGCGCGCTGGAGTGATGTAAAAAATCATAAAACTATAAAATACATATTTTTTTAAAATAACGGTTATTCAATCATACACATACACACACACAACACAATATTCACTATGCTGCCTCACGCGCAGCTTTCGTCGAATATTACTGTTATGAAGGGAAATATGCGCTGCGTATAAATGAATAAAAACCCACGAAAAACTTACGAAAAAGCGGAAATAAAAGAAAACAAAACAATAACAAAAATTCCAGCACTTCTAATAAATTTATTGATTATTTTGCTGAATCAATTTGGTGCATGTTTTGTTATTTTGGTTGCAGCGTCCTCTTTTCTGTTTTATTACTTTCAGCACGTGCTCACACATAAGCAAATACCACATGCTGGTGAAAGAAAGCAAAATGATAGAAGAAAGTTGAGTTTTTACAAGTCGACATTAGGTCAAGTGAAAGAAAAAGTTTATTGAGGTGGAGACCAAATCAGTTTGATTTGGAGTAGCTTTTAGAATTATTGTATATTGGTTTTAATATGAGTATTAAGTTCCTCTGTATGGTATATTACAGAGTATCAATGGAGTGATTCCAGCAACATTAATTCATACATAATACAATTCGAATTTTCTTTGTTAAAAAATCCCTTGATTGCAATAAATAAAAACGACTAATGGCAGCCTTTGCCATTTTAAGTTGGTTTTTTTATAAGATTGGAACAAATAGCGTACCGGTGTTTTAGTGTGGTTTAATACTAAAAGAATGGACCTCGGAATTGCTCGACGAAAGCTTGTCAACTGACAATACTTGCAATTGCTTCCACAAGTTGTGTCTTTCCTTGTGTTCTAACAGTTCACTGTCCGATAAATATTCATGTCCAGAGGCTAAAATATTTTCCGGATGCTAATTGGTGTAGTTGCTTAGAAGAATTCAAATTCGCAATCTATTGCCTTAGCATATTTGTGTTTCTTCTCAAGACTCTTTGTCGATATATGACGGTTTGATCAAAAAAGTGTAACTAATTTTTCCATTTAATATAAGGTTGCATTTTGTATAGT